GCAAAATATGTTATGCTCACAATTTACAAAATTGACAGTGGATACAGTAGATTTCACAGAATTCGCAGCCGAAACGGTGGATTTATTGCAGTTACTTGTTGCTGGTTAACTGAGAACTTTGAATTTAATAAAATCTTGTTGTGTGTAAAAAAAACATTTGAAGATATTATCGAAGCTTTAGATCTGTGGAAATTAGAAAACTTGAAATTTTTTAATGGCAATGAATGTTTTTATAATCAGCTAAAAGAAAAGTACCAAGATATTATATATATAAAAAAAGTTGTGATTGGCATGAGTGGTAATGATTTAATACAAACAAGTTTAAGTAGATGGGCTAGCAAACATACCAGTACTCAAAGAATTTCTAATATTATCAAAGCTGTTCGAAATGCTACTAATGGTCTTTGCGGTGTAGTAAGTATTTTGAAGAATCCTAAAATGCAAAGAGAAATGAATCTAACAATTAATGATTGTTGTAGTTGCCACTATCATAAAATAGAATTCCTTTCATTGCTAAATAAATCTTTCAAAACATTGCTTAATTACAGTAATCATAATGATGGTTTCATTAGAAACAGCATAATTAGATTTAAAAACGATTCATTAGATAATTTACCATTTAGTATATTTCCTGAATTACTACGATTATTCAAACCCTTGGAACATAACGATGTTACTGAGAAAAATGCTATCGATCTAGTTGTTAATGCTATTAACATTTTGAATGAGATTTCTCAGTTAACTGTGCCGAATGAGCTTTTGGAAGAATACAAGGCACTTGAATCATTTCTAATATTTTTAATTCGTTCATATGGCTCATATTTCCACACAAGTGTAAGTTCATTTCTAGATCTGCGTTCGAAACCAGTTAACGTTATTTCTAATGTAAGTTTTATTAAAATTTTAACTTTATGATTATAAAATCACAATTAATGTAATTATATTTCATACAATATATTAGGAAGTGTTCAAGGGATTTATTCTAGATAAATGCCAAGCCTATTATTCACAAAATCCCAGTTCTTCTGGTAATAGTTTAGCATCTGAAGAATTGGCATGATATATTAGTTATTCGCAATCTCAGTTTGATGAAAACGTTGATGTGTATAAATAGTGGAAAAATTCAAAACATGAATTTCCTAGTTTAGCTACTCTTGCAAGTGAATATTTGCCTTTGGTGTCGAATTATGAAATGCGATCAAATAATCTTAAAAAATGTATAGAAGTTTATCAAAATAATGATGTGGTAGATAAAATAGCTTTTCTAGATTATAACATAAATTACATTGA